AAGAGTGCCAATTCCCATGGCTGAGTAACAGATAGCAACATACCGGAAAGCTTGGCATTAAAATTATTTTCAAAAAGTATCTTAAAACTGCTCCCCACCCCCACTCCCCTCAGATTATTAGCAGGACCTTGAAGTTTAACAGCTGAAACCCGGATGCCTAGTGTCCAGTTTTGTCCTGTGCCTGACTCACTGGATGGCCTTAGTGAAATCAGTTTTCGTCTCTGAGTGTGTTTCCTTGCTGTTAAGGTAAAACTAAAAATACATATTGTCTTCATGAGTTATGGTAAGAACTCACTGAGTAATCTTTGCTAAGAAATTGGACCTTTTTCAAGATAAAAAAAAAAAAAGGAGAAAAAGATGTATTTCATCATAGAGGAAATCTGTTTGGGAGGTTTCTGATTCTAAATTGATATAATATAAAATAAAAAAAACTTTCTTCAACCTCCTCCGTTAGACCTTGAGACAAAGACTGGCTTAATCTCTATGCCCTTTGATGCTGCTGAAGAAACAGCACAGTTGCACTGAGCAGCTTACTCACTCAAGCCAGCCTCTGGAAGACGCTGTACCTCGGGACAGAGCAGCTCGAGCTTTCTGTGCTGCTGTTCACACCACACTGAGGTCCCCACGAGAGCTGAGCCACTCAGACCAGTCTCTCTTCTCCCTGTGGGCCCAAAGCTCACTCTCTTCCAGGTGCTAAGTGCACCAACAATTTTTCTTTGGACTTTCTATCACTCTATTTTTTGATTTCATACAAATCTAGTTTTATAAGCAGTGAGATTTCTAATTTTAAATAGGAAAATTCTGCTCTACTTGTATTTTTTTTAAATTATTTTATTCTTCTCATTAACTCGAGTGACGATTTCTCATAGCTAAGAAGGTTTCACGAGGCAGCTCAGAATAGCAGAAAAAGCCTGGATTTGGAAGGCAGGAGATGAATCCTGCTCTTGTTACAACTCTTATAGCGTTGGACACGTTACTTATCTCATTGAGTCTCAGTTTCTTTGATGGTACAATGGGGGGAATGATACGAACCTTGTAAGGTTGTTGTAAGGATTAGATATCTTTCATTTACATGTTTCATGGGACAAACATATACTGAGTAGTTCCTTACCTGGTAGTATGGCTGCAAACGAGGCAACGCCCCTGCTCTTATGGAGCTAGCCCTCCCATGGGTGCTATAACTAAAGTCATCAGGGCTGAAACTTGCATTATAACAGGCAAATAATCCTGGGTGCCAATAAGCTCTTCTTTTATCCTCCAAGTATAGGACAAAGGAACAATTTGAGGGGCCATTTGGTCTCACATCGTTTTCATTTTCACTGCTTATTAGAGCAACATTTATTGAACACTTGGTTCCCAGGTGCAGGGATGTGAACCAGGCACTGGGACCACTGTGGTGAATGGGATGTAGCCTCATTTTCAAGGGGTCGGCAGTCAGGGAGGAGACGGACACTTAAACAGAGAATTACACTTCAGTGGGGACCTTGGGCATGGGGTAGATGCTTCTGAACTGGATCTAAGAAACAGTCCTGCAAGGTGAAGAGAAGTTTTTAAAACACAGCAAGGGGTGATGCAGTTGCAAAAGCAAAAAGGGAGAGCAGCTGGAGACAGACGGGACCGAGTCACAGGCTTGAAGAGGATGAGTGTGTGTGAAATAAAATAGTTCAGTTCAGTATGAGGTATAGAGCTCGGAGGGGTTAGGGGAGAGGCAGATAAGAAGTGAGGGTGAAAACTGGGTAAGTGAGAAGGGGTCGACCTTGTATGTGTGCTGAGAATTTTAAAGCCTCTTCCGTAGGAGGAGGTGAAGGTTGCTTAGTTTTGCGTTTTAGAGAGAAGACAGATGAGAGACTCAGAGTTGAGAGCGGCTGGAGCTTTGCCCAGGGTGCTGGTAACTGGAACGGTCAGGGAGCGATGCCTGAGGGAGGTGGACGAAACAGTGGTGAAAGGTTGGAGTGATGAGAGGAAGAGAAGTGGAGGATGAGACCTGGGTCCCCCCCACCCCCCAAAATGGTGGTGCCACTTACCAGGGGAGGCAGGAAGTGCAGTCTGTGGACAAACGCCACCTCTAGGCTTGGGAAAATTACTTAACTGTTTGTGCCTCAGATTCTTCATCTAAAAATGAGGATGATAATAACAGAAACTCACAGTGCTGCTTTATTGTGCGAATTAAATAAAATAACTCAGCAGAGCACTCAGAGCAGTACCTGGAGCTTCCCAGCTCCACTGTATGCACCAGTTACTATTCTTAGGGGCGCAGGAAGATAGTCTTGGAGGAAAAAGAAGGTTTAGGAGAAATAGAAGGTCTAATCCAGTTTCAAATATGAAAGACTGCCTTGAGGCTTTAAGAATCCATTTTGACCATCTTGTCAAAAGAAGTTGAGCCCATCAATGGAGTGTTGCCTCACGGCTAGGGGAGCAAACCCAGAGTAACTCTCTTCTGAACAGACTTAAGAACTCTGGGACATGTGGGACAGTGGCTCCCACATTTGCTTCAGGGCTGGGGCAAGAGAAAGGAAAGTGGACA